CCTTTCCGTGAGCCACGTGAGCCACAGGAGCACACGGCACCTCCCAGGGCCGAGGGCCCGGTGCCGTGCGCCCACCACCCCCGCCCGCACAGGCCCGGCTCACCTTGCCCTCCTCGCGGGGGATGAGCACGCTCTCATAGCGGCTGCGGCACTGCTTGGAGGAGCGGTAGATGCGGCTGCAGGAGTTGACGACGTCGCTGACGAGGTCCCAGTTGGGCGTGTGGGCCGGCGACACGATGGTGAGGTTCAGGGGCAGCTCCAGCAGCTGCTTCACGGCCTAGAGGGCCAGGTCAGCACGGTCACCACCGGAGGGCAGCCTGCACCCGCGGCGGGCACGGCGAGGGCGGACACAGCGCAGGCGGGCACGGCGAGGGCGGACACAGCGCAGGCGGGCACGGCGAGGGCGGACACAGCGCAGGCGGGCACGGCGAGGGCGGACACAGCGCAGGCGGGCACGGCGCGCGTGGGGGGAGGGGGTACGGCGCGGGGGGGGGCACAGCGCGGGTGGACACGGCGCAGGCGGGCACGGCGCGCGTGGGGGGAGGGGGTACGGCGCGGGGGGGGCACAGCGCGGGTGGACACGGCGCAGGCGGGCACGGCGCGCGTGGGGGGAGGGGGTACGGCGGGGGGGGAACAGCGCGGGCGGGCACGGCGCACGTGGGGGGAGGGGGTACGGTGCGGGGGGGGGCACAGCGCAGGCGGGCACGGCGGGGGGGGGCACAGCGCGGGCGGGCACGGCACACGTGGGGGGAGGGGGTACGGCGGGGGGGGGCACAGTGCGGGTGGGCACGGCGCAGGTGGGCATGGCGCACGTGGGGGGGGGCACGGCGCGGGCGGGCACGGCGGAGGGGGAGGCCCAGGCTCACCTGCAGCAGCGCCCAGTCCTCGCTGATGAGCCACTCGGGGTTGTCGGGACCGGCCTCGGCGGCGGGCTTGGCGAAGGTGGGCAGCGGCTTGGCGAACTGCGCCTGCTGCTTCAGCAGGAGGTTCTTCTTCTGCTCCTTGCCCTCCCGCCGCATCTTCAGCAGGCCCGGCGTGGCGCGGTCGAAGAGCGAGCGCGGGGGCACCACGGCCTCCCCGTGCCGCTGCTTCTTCTTCCTGCCGGCAGCTGCACAGAGGCCGCTCAGGCGCCGGCCGGCCGGCCCGCCCGCCCACGCCCACGGCGAGCCCGAGGGCCGGGCTGGCGGGAGGCAGCCACCCAGGAGCCCGGCCAGTGCCTGCCCCCTCACTGGCCGCCCGCAGCGGCGCGACAGGTGCTCACCTGAGGGGTCCGTCCTGTGCCGCCGGCGCTCCTTCCGCACGTACACAGGCGGCAGCTTGGCCTCGGGGATGGGCGTGGTCTCGTACATGAGGCACATGACCGAGTCGATGTAGATGTCGTTGTCGTCCTGGGGCGGCGTGGGCGGGGTCCAGAGCTGCAGGAGAAGCAAGAGGTGAGCCGGGCCTCGGGGAAGGCAGCCCCGCACAGGGACAGGGGCTGGGGACCGGGCCAGGGATGGGAACGGGGACCGGGACGGGGACGGGAACGGGGACCGGGACGGGGACGGGGACCGGGACAGGGATGGGAACGGGGAAGGGGAAGGGGACGGGGACGGGGACGGGGCCGGGGCCGGGGCCGGGGACCGGGACGGGGATGGGAACGGGGAAGGGGAAGGGGACGGGGACGGGGACGGGGACGGGGAAGGGGACGGGGACGGGGAAGGGGAAGGGGACGGGGACGGGGACGGGGACGGGGACCGGGACGGGGATGGGAACGGGGACCGGGACGGGGACGGGGACGGGGACCGGGACGGGGATGGGGATGGCAACGGGGACCGGGACGGGGATGGGGACGGGGACCGGGACGGGGATGGGAACGGGGAAGGGGAAGGGGACGGGGACGGGGACGGGGACGGGGAAGGGACGGGGCCGGGGCCGGGGCCGGGGAAGGGGCCGGGGATGGGGATGGGAACGGGGAAGGGGACGGGGAAGGGGATGGGAACGGGGCCGGGGCCGGGGCTGGGGCCGGGGAAGGGGCCGGGGCCGGGGACCGGGACGGGGATGGGAACGGGGAAGGGGACGGGGAAGGGGCCGGGGAAGGGGCCGGGGAAGGGGCCGGGGAAGGGGCCGGGGATGGGGACGGGGAAGGGACACGCACCGGCATGACTTCCGTCTGCCCGTCCGCTCCTTCGTAGATGTACTCCTGCGGGTAACGTGGCTTTCAATGGGGGGAGTCTGTTTCACGCTGCAGGCACCTTTGTGACTTCCGGGACCTCCCTCCACCCCGAGGGAGAAGCAGCATGGGCCGGGGGAGGGTGCGCACCGCATTGTAGGCGTCCTCCCGGGTGTAGGTGAGCAGCTGCTCCTGCTCCAGCTCCTGCAGCGCCCGGGCCTCCTGCTCCTGCAGCGCCAGCAGGTTCTGGGCCTCCCAGGCTCGCACCGCAGTCAGCACGGCGTCCTGCTGGGAGACACGGGCTCGGACACGGCTCCCAGCACCGTTCCACAGGAACACACCTGCCCCCTCCCGTTCCACACAGACCAAGGGCCTCTCTCTCTCCCGTCGTGTCCCCTCCACGCTGCGGTCACTCATCTCCCAGCACGTGCTCTGGGCCCAGCCACCGCTGCCTCCCACACCTGGAACCCGCAGGGGCCTCCCAGCTGCGGCCCCTGGTTCCAGGCACTCCGTCCTCAGAACTGCACCGTCACACGGACCCTGCGCTGCCCGCGGGAAGATGACCCTCACCTCGCCGCTGCTCTCCTTGTCGGGACCGATGGAAGCATGGAAGAGTTGCAGGTAATTCAGAGCGTACTTTTCAATCGGGGTGAGCTGTTTCAAATACACGTTTTGGACAGTTAACGGCAGGTCAATAGGGTTACGATCCTCACAGCCCCACCGACGCCCGAGTCACAAAGTGGCTGTGCCCTGGCCGCTGCTCTGGGCGGGGCACTGGCTGAGGACGGAACGGCTGCAGGTTCCGGCCGGTCGAGGGCACCTCAGCTGCAGATTTAATCCCCAGCTCCGGGAGGGGCATGTGGGAGGCAACCAATCAACGTGCCCATGTTTCTCTCTTTACCAGTGTATCTCACGCTGCCGACGACGAAAACATCCCTGGGGGAGCGTTTTAGGACGATGACTTGTAAAGAGAACCATTATGGGAAGGCAGAAAGGAGAAAATGCCCAAACCTGCTCCATGAAGTCGGCCAACTCCTCCAGCTGCGAGGGCTCCTGGTCCCTCGCGCAATCGGGGTCCGGTGATGTGGGCGTGGCCTCCCCCGTGGGCTCCTGCGCGTCACCCTCCAGGCGCTCAATGCTCTTCAGGGCCTGGGGAAGTGCATGCTGGGTCAGACGGCGCTGACAGAGCAAGCTTCTGTGTGTTAACCCTCACCCGGTTACAGAGAGTGGGAGGGAGAGGAGAGTCAGAGAGAAACATCAACGTGAGAGAGACACCCTGACCAGGGCCTGGGCCAGGGAGAAGCCTGCAAGCGAGGTATGTGCCCTTGACTAGAATAGAGTCCAGGACTTTTTGGTCTATAGGCCAACACTCTATCCACTGAACCACACTGGCCAGGACCAAACAGTTAATTTTTAAAAATGGATCAAGTATAGAAGCATAACTAATAGACACAGACAGTAGGGGGGAGGGCATGAGCTGGCGGGGGGGAGGGGGGGGGAGCGGGAGAGGTCAATGGGGGAAAAGGAGACATATGTAATACCTTCAACAATAACTAACTTAAATTTTAAAAAGTAACGGATGAGGTGGAAGCGCATCTCCTCACCAAGGAGGCGGGGGGAGGGGGCTGCGGGTCCCCAGGGTGCTTCCCAGCAGAGGCCCTGCACAGCCAGGACCGGGGAGACAGGCAGGAGCAGCCCTGGAGTCGGAGACCACGGAGGCAGCGCCTCACCGGGCGGGAGGCTGTCCTCACCTCGATGAAAGGCCGTGCGATCTTGGGGGCGATGGTCTCCGTGACCGTCGGCTCCTGGGGAAGGATAACCAACTCCTCGGCTGTCACGGGGAAGCCCGGGTCCTCCATGGGCATGCTCACCTCAAACAGCTCCTGGATGGTGCGCTGAGCACAGACACGCAGGTGACCCCCCGCGCGCGCGAGGCTGGCTCGCCCCCAGCTTGGGCGTGCTGCTCGCTCAGTGCCTAGAGCCACGCGCCCTGCACCACGGCCCCCCCCCCCCCCCCGGGCCACGGACGAGGTACCTGCGTCAGGAACGCCATGGAGTACTCGTTCCCCTGGGCAGCCACTTCTCGGATCAGATCCTTGGTCCCGTTCTTGAGAAGTTTCTCTTCCACAGAATTGCCACTCACAAGCCTATAAACAAAGACCCACACAGAGGCACTGAGTCCCGGAGCACGGGCCCGTGGCGGCCGGCACAGGCTTGAAGCACATGCGTGCGGCTCCTGTGATCCTGCCTCATGTGGCGGGCAAAGGCCTCGTGCCCCGGTGCCTCCCCATCTCAGCCCCACCCCGTGCCCACCCACGGAGCACTGGCACACGGTGCGGCACGCAGTATGGCACCGGTGCGGCCGGCCTGGGAGCCCGCCCCGCCCCGCCCCGCCCCGCCGCCCCGCCAGCCTCACCGGTACACGTGCACGTCCCTGCGCCGCCCGATCTTGTCGCACCAGCGCTGGACCTGGGCGTCCCGCACGGGGTTCAGGTCGTGGTCGTAGACCACCACGGCGTCGGCCTCCAGCAGGCTCAGGCCTGCCGAGCGGCTGCGCGTGGACAGCAGGACGCAGAAGATGCGCCGGTCCCTGTTGAAGCTCTTCACCAGCTCCTGCGACGACAAGCCCGCCTCAGGACGGCGCCGGGCTCGGGGAGACCGGACGTTCACGCACGCTCACGCACAGCAGGACTGTGGGGTCCACGTTCCCACGTTTGAGTCACGCCAGATTTCTGGCTCTGACTCGGCTCTCTGTATGGCTGGTCCTGGCTCACCAGGCCTCCACACACACACGGTTTAAACCGCAAGAGTCGTCACGGAAGGAGACTGCCTGGTTCCAGGCGACAAGTGTGTCAGCGCAGTTGGTAGGCCCCACAGGAGCACGGCTTTAAGCTAAGGATCCCTGGGGAGGGATCTGCGCTTCCTCGTGTCCCCCCAGGCAATGCCAGGGCACTCCACAGCAGAAGCCCCCGGAGTAAGGCTGAGGGAGGGAACGGCCCGCCAGGAGCCTCCACTACTGGCCGGCACCGCGTCTCCCGGACACGGCTCTCCGCAGTGAGTGCAGCACGGATGCGGCCACAGCAGGCCCACAGCCCTCCTCCAGGAACCCCGCCCGCCGGCACGGCTCAGTGGCTGATGTCCACCCAGGAACCGGGAGGTCACCGTTCAATCCTGGTCAGGACACACGCCCGGGATGCAGGTTGGATCCCCAGGAGGGGAGGGGAGGAGGCAGCCAATCAGTGATGTTTCTCCCTCATTGCCGTTTCTCTCTCTCTCCTTTCCTTTCTCTCTAAGAATGTGTTTTTAAAAGGAATTCTCTAGGCGCCGTCACTGGGAGCGGGCCTCCCTGCAGGCATTTCCTCTGCCCTCGGGAAGGGGGCACGCTGACTGCTCCCGGGGCGGCAGCTGCTGGGCACGCCAGCCCAGCGGGGTTAGCGCTTCCACAGGAAACAGCTGTGCACACCAGCCTGCAAGAGGGGGTGCTGGGAGGGTGACCACGCTGGAGGCACGTGCAGTGCCCGGCCTGGAAGCTGTGGCGCTCACGCCCAGCAGCGCTGCTCTGACCAGCGACCAGGCCCGTGGCCACCAGCGGGCTGCCTCCCGAGGACGGTCCTGCCCCGTGAGCGCTTGGCAGAGGCCCGCCTCGGGGCCCTGGGCGCCGGAGCGTGTCCAAGGGAGAAGGAGGAGGAGAGGCCGCAGAGACTATTGGGTCCCGGCCCGGAGGTGCCGCGCCCTGATCGGAAGGGTGACAGCACCGGGCGAGCGCAGCGCTGACGCCGGGCTGGGCTGGGAGGGCCGCCGCCGCCTCACCTGCCGCTGCTCGCTGCTGGCGTTCTCGTCGATGCGGATGTAGGTGAGGAAGTGGAAGTTGAGGAACAGCTCCAGGATGTCCAGCATGAGGACCATCTGTGACACAATGAGCGCCCGGCGCCGTTCGGACCGCAGCTTCTTCAGCAGCCTCCACAGTACGTGCAGCTTCCCTGCGGGAGCACGCGAGGTCACCCGGAGCGCGGAGGCGGGAGCACGCGAGGTCACCCGGAGCGCGGAGGCGGGAGCACGCGAGGTCATCCGGGGCGCGGGAGGCGGGAGCACGGGAGGCGGGAGCGCAGCCCGCGGGCCTGCCTCCTACCTGAGTCCAGCTGGACCAGCCGCAGCTCGGGGAGCTGCAGCGAGCGTGGGGCGGTCGCCCGCTGCAGCTGCTGGGCGTAGGGCGCCGTGTGCTCCCGCAGGCGGTGCCTGAAGAGCCTCATCCGGTGGCTGTAGAGGGAGGGCGGCCGCGACACACACAGGGCCGGGGGCGCGGCCACCACGGGGGGGATCACACACGACACCCTGCGGGGCAGAAAGCACGCTCGTCACAGCGGCACTGCACATCCCACGCGGCAGCTCCGACCTGTCACCGTGGAGACAAGCCTGCTGCCCACACTGTCCCGGCAGCCAGGGCACAGGTCCCGACAGCCCTGGCCGATGAGGGCCGCCGGGGAGACACCCCGGGCAGGTCCCCAGGCCCTCGAAGGGCACCTCTTCTGGTGGGAACTGTGGGACACGGGCTGTCTCCTGGACGGGCGGGGACGATGTGAACACAGAGCTGCTCCGGCCAGGTGCGCCAGGAGGGCAGCAGGGAGGAAGGGCGTCTCGAGGCAGACCTGACACCCGTCGCCCGGCCGCCGGATGCCCCGCACAGGAGCCCTTCCTCGGCAGCCAGCTCCGTCGTCTCTATGACTTGCTGCCAAATGCAAGCCAAAGCCACCGCCACCGAAACACTGACAAGGAAGACCCGTGACTAAGAAACCTCACGGACAGAGTCACCACCGCCAGGGCCAGCTCCCAGCGGCACAGACTAGCACCATCCCATCAGAACCCAGCGGATCGTCCCGAGCAGCTGATTTTAATGTTTATCTGGAAGCAAAAGACCACCACAGCCACACAGCATGGAGGAGTCCGAGAGACATCAAGGCAGCAGGTCTGGGGCGGCGTGGAGCGCGCAGGAGCAGACCTCCTCTGGCCACCTGACCACGACAGAGGCACAGGACGGCCACACAGCAGACACCACGAGCAGAAAAGGGCCGGACACAAATACCGACTCAGGGGTCACGACCTCAGTGTGAGCTGTACAACCACCAACTCCTGAAGGTAACACAAGGAGCGTGGGTGCCAGCCTTTAGCTACAACACCAAAGACACAATCCACGAGATAAAGGATGGATCAGCCGGACTCCCCTGGAATTAACGACTTCTCTCTGCAAAGGGTGCTGTCGAGAGAGTAAGAAGGCCCTGACCGGTGTGGCTCAGTGGATAGAGTGTCAGCCTGCGGACTCAAGGGTCCCAGGTTCGATTCCGGTCAAGGGCGTGTACCTTGGTTGCAGGCACATCCCCAGTAAGGGGTGTGCAGGAGGCAGCTGATCAATGTTTCTCTCTCATCGATGATGTTTCTAACTCTCTACCCCTCTCCCTTCTTCTCTGTAAAAAATCAATAAAATATCAATAAAAAATCAATAAAAAACAAAACAAAACGCAGAGCTCTGAAAACAGAGGCCTTAGCACCAGGACCCACCCTTGCTGCGGGAAGAAAAAGACTGTCTGTTTCTGACAAAACTGCGGTCCTGCTGCCCGCCCGGGGGACTGGGAGGCCGCACTGTCCCATGGCCTCCCATGGGACACCCGGGCTGCTTCTCCATGGCCACCCGGGCTCGGAGACGACCAGATGTCCTCTGGCCGGAACCAGGAACGGGTAAGACAATGTCCGCAGCCAGGAAAAGACACGGCGGGACCTTCAATGTCCATGAGCAGTGAAAGAATCCCCTCTGCAAGGCCACACGCTAGCGCCAGCTCGGTGACGCCCAGATAAGGCACAGCCACGGAAACAAGATCAGGGGTCAGCAGGGCAACAGGCAGGGCAGGGGGAGGGAGGAGGGCAAGGCGAGCACACGGGGCCGAACGCAGTGACACCACCTCACCTGTCAATCACGTCCTGGAGGGACTCTTGCCGTTGAGTCTGTGTCAAGATCAGGTCCCGCAGAGCGTCTGAGGCCGGTGGGTAGACACCCGCTGGCCGGGCCCCCTTCCCAGGCCTGCGCCCCAGAACTCCGAGCCCCGAGCCCCGGTCTCTGCCGGCCAGGGAACAAGCCGCCAGCAGGTCTGTGCCGTAGACGGGGGCGCGGGAGCACCGCCGCTCGTTGACGGAGCAGACCTGGTCCAGCCGCTCCTTCAGAAGTCGGGTCTTGTCCTCCTGCATCACAAAGTGATGGAAATGGCCCGTGAGAAGCAGAGGCCAGCCGGCGGAGCCCAGCAATTATAGAGCCCAGGTTCACTTCTTTTACTAAAAAAGTATCTTTAAAACAAAGGGTACATAATCTGGCAACGTCCTCCTGAAGGCGCTCAGCAGCACTGCCAGGAGCACCACGCACGTGGGGGAGTGCTCAGTACCTGCGTGGGCCCCGCGATGGGAGAAGCTGGTTTGGAGGTCATTCCAGGTTCTCCTACTGTCAGGGGGTTGACCGCCACTCGACTAGGCACACCAACTACAAAACAAAACCAAGGCTGGAAACAGCTCTGGGCGCTGCACACGCCCCCCAGGTCGGCGTCGCCTCTCCCTGCACGTTTCACCTGCGTGGTCAGAGCCAGTGTTCTGAGCAGAGCACCAGGCTCTCTCCCCGTGGCGAATGCCCCGCGCCATCCTCACGGCCCTCACGCCGGCACAGCGGCCACCGGGCCCTGCCCTTCCTCAGCACAAGGCGACCCCCACATCGTCAGGCCCGCCGCTGGCCGACAGGCGTGTGCTCGGGGACGGCTCAGGGGCCTAGTTAGGGGCACTGGGGAGAGTCGCAGTGACTGGGAGGAGCGGGTCCAGGGAGCAGGAGGGCCCTGGCGGGAAGCAGGCTGTGGACAGGCAAGAGGAAGAACTGACTGTCTCATACCGGGAACCTGCCTCATGGTCTGTCCCGGGGGAAAGCTAGCACCAAAACAAAAACCTAAAGTGAGTGGAGGCTGGTGAGAGTCAACCAACAATTCTGAGAACCAACAAACAAGGAAACCGAGTGGACACCGCTGTCCGTGGAAATGAGATGTGGCCACGGCAGGTCCGTCAGGGTCCGAGGCCCCACAGTCAGGTCCTAAAGGCCTTCCGTTCCCTTCGCGGGAGAGCCAAAGGCAGCTCCACACCCAGCCTGTCCCAGCCCAGAGCACCTACCTGTTGGGGCCGCGGGAGCGGGGCCTGGGCCGCTGGCCGGGGGCTTGCTTCCCAGGGCGCTCAGGGCACCCGCCTGAGACACGGTCTGCATCACCATGGGGCCAGGAGGGCGCAGGTAGGACTGCCCGGGGGCGGACACGATCTGAAGGACACTGCCTGCAATCACACGTGTGCGAGGACGATCAGCCACGCAGGTGCCTTCACCTCAGGTCACACCCACAGGCCACAGACCTAATCTCCAAAACCAAACCTGCTCCCACGTGGCAATGTAGACCTCAGTTACTTGTAGAAAAAGGAAAACACTTCATTTGCAATGAAAGTAACTCCAAGAAACAGCCCAGCTGGCTGAGCGGGGACCTACGAACCAGGTCACAGTTTGATTCCAGGTCAGGGCACGTGCCGGGCTGCAGGCTGATGTCTAGTAGGGGTGTGCAGGAGGCAGCCAATCAGTGATTCTCTCTCATCATTGATGTTTCTCCCTCTCTCCCCCTTCCTCTCTGAAATCAATAAAAACTAAAAGGAAAAAAATGTCATTTTTCTTAATGTCAAAAGAGAGCTTTCCGGTTTCTAGAAATTCCTAGAGATCTGGGGCAATGCCAGGGGCACTTGCTCAGGGTCTGTCACGTCTGCTGGAGACCCCAAGTCCCAGGTGGAGGTCTCAGCTGCCTGGTCACAGGCTGGTGCTTGCCGACCCGTCAGCTGGATGAGGAAACAGCTGATGTGCCTGTTAAGTGCAGATGTGGTGGCTCTGCGTAAGGAGCTGGCACTCCACCTCTGGTGTGACTGTGTCTCTCCACAGCC